GTCAAAATATTCAGAAGTAAATGCTAAACTAGTCTTTAACTCTATGTATAGGGGTTGATTCATACTTTAAGTAATATTGCATGTAGTACTGTTGATTACTTTTTAATCTTCCTGATTTCATCACAGTTCTGAATATCTATGAACTAACATTTATTCACTTCACCGATGAGATTTACTAGGGGCTTTCCACAACAAGGGAAARATCAATACATCATTAGAGACAGGTCAGTACGAGAAAGGCTTTTTCTTTTCTCAGTGAAATGTAACAAGATATTACCCTCTTTATTATTTCTCTCTTCCAAGGGTGTGAGAGAGTTTTCCAACTATGGCTAAGAGCTCTTAGAGCTAAAAATGTTTGGATATTTTGGGGGAATGAACCTGCACACTCAATACGACTTCACTACCAACCATCACATACTCTGGCCAAGAAAATATTTTTAACAGACTATGTTGACTCTGCAAAATGGTCTTGCCCAATACTTGCCTGTGAAACCTATCCATGACAAGAACTTTGTCAACACAAATCTAATGAGTAAAAATACTACATATGTATKCTCTTAAATCTTAATATTAGATTTTCTTTCATTTGATTTTTAACCTTCAAAAGACTTCAAGCTATATTTATTCAGAATCTGCAGCATTAATAGAAAATTGTACAACAGCTAACAGGAACAAGGATTATGCTCTACCTTGTTATGGTTATTCTCATGGGTCAAAGACTCATTATAACTGACAATCCCTTTGTGCCTCTCCAGGCACAGACACTGGAGATATCCCACAAGAGGCTTTCTTCAGAGAAGCAAAGTTATTGGCAGCTGGTTTTCCTTTTATTGTCATGTGCCTTCCTCAGTGTCTTGACCTGTATGTTGCAGATAGGATTCTCCACACTATCTACCTGTAATTCTATAATAGAAAAAGACCATGGATATGTACCATGTTGCCACTTCCCACAACACATTGTAGCTTTCCCAGCTTTTCCATTAGAGAAGATCAGGACTATTCAGACTAGCAAGCACATCTGTTTAAATGTGCAGCTGCTATGTCCTCAATTGCAGTTTAATGAGATTCCTAAAATGTTTAGTACAGGATGTGCATCTGATCTTGAGTGTCATTATACAAGTCTGCTACACTGTTCTTAGCTTAAGAATTTTAAGAGGTCTGCTGCTGTAAAGCTAGTATACTTGCTGATGCAGGAAACAGGTGCTGATCAGTGAGTACTCTGACATTAGTAATATCTATTTGTGTTTGAGTTTTAAGTTTGCTTTCCTTTTTAACATAAAGTACTTAAGATAAAGTATTTCCAAAAGTATGTTAACATAAGGTATTTTCTATTTTGATACAAAATTATGTTCAACTTCTTCTTCCTTCTCTTGGAACTGCAGGTTCATGACAAAAGCATGTGAGGCCCTAGTCAGGGAGAATTTCAGGTATGAAGGAATTCTTTAAATTACCTGGAAAAATAAGAAGAAACATCTAAAAGATGAAATCACACAATTCAAAGCTGCCAGTATAAATGATATAACCTTTCTTGTGATCTTCAAATCAAAAMCAATTCCTTTTGACCAGATTTTATTTAGTCAAACATAATATTTTAACCAAACACTTTGGTTTAGTACCAACTGGGGAAAGCATTAATGACCTGAGATATGATAAACTGGTAATCTTTTGCCAGAGATTGGTTTCTTACTGATTTATACCATTCAGAGTACAATAACTGAAATAACTTCTTTAATATTATTATTATTATTTTATCTTGCCATATGAAAAAGTTTTGGGGCTGAAAATAAAAATGGAAAATGTGCAAGATCATTTTTGGTTTAACTGACTGTAAGTAATCTGAAAATAGTATCATATKGATTAGGAACATTTGAAATTGTTATTAATCTTATATGTATATTTAAAAATAAAAGCATTGTTGATTAGGAAGATGGTCTGATAGTGGAAGTGATCAATCCTTTATGAAATAATGAGGAGGTAGCAGCATACAGCTTGCTGTGTTCTCAAGTCAGCTTTTCATATTTTCTGCTGATGTTTCAGAACAGCAATATGTTTTAATAACTCTCCATTTATTACCTTACAAGGAGAGATATTTAAGCCAGGGAATTATTTATAATAATCAATCTTTTATAAGCTAATTTAGCAGAGATCATTTTTTAAAGCCTTGAATCCATTATCTCTAAAGAATCATTAAAAAAAAATCTGTCATTTCAGCAATGAGGACTTTATGACCTAGTCCAAAATAWAGAAATTTCATGCTTGTCTACTGCAGTCCCATCCATACCTCCTMCTTGTATAGAAGCATAAGTAAAACTTTCTTGTCTTTGCCTTTTCTGCTACTAAAGTAGTTCAATTCAGGAATAATAAACAAGCTAAACTTTGCGGTGTAGTACCCTGTTCATATTTCCATTACATGCATCATATGCTTATTGTAAAGAGTGTTCTAAATAGCTATGTCGTGAGAATCCTCTAAACAGACTGAATTCCTATGTATCTGATAGCATTATATTTCCCATTAACCAGCTCACTATAAGTCCATAAGTACCACAAGTACAGCAAAGTGCAACGAAACACTAAAATTTAAATCAAAACCAAATTAAACCAAACACTAAACCAAATAAGGAAAAAATGTCCTTCTCTCACTTGATTTTCCTCTCCAGGCAGCTGATAAAGTCCTTTAAATTGAGACTCAAAGTTGATTAAAAGTGGCTGTGAATATCACAAAAAGAGTAACTTTCGAATACTTGTAAACAGAAGTATTTTGTCCATAATCAATTGCTCATTTTCAAACACTAAATATTGGTCTTYGTGTAACAATTTTCCATCCATCTGGCCTAGTAATATCCAGACTTTCCTTTTTTTCTTTTTTTTTTTTCCCCCCCCGTTAACAATCTAGTATAAGATTTAGGGGAATAACTGAATCTAAATTAGAAAATCTTTATTCAGGTGATACTCAATTGGTTTCACTTTTTAAGAAGTGTATTTAAACTTAGTAGACTAATTCTACTTAATAATTCATGAACAAACCATTAGGCCTTTATTATTGTAGTAATGTCTCAATTACTATCATATACAAAACATATTCCTGTCTTCAGCTAAAGAAGGTATGGGTATTATTTTTTCTTTTTCCGGAAACATTTTTGTCACTCTGAGATGAAGGCATACACTGTATAAGCATTTACAGATATAGAAACATATCTCTCTCCCTCATGGAAAACAAATAAATGAAACAGAAAATCAGGTCATTCACCACAATGAATCAAAAGCAGAAAGTAGAGTCAAAGAATGAAACTCAGCTCCATAGGATTCCTGCATGATATATCTATAGGTACTATGGAGATGCAAGATATTTACAAACCCCCTATTTTTTTTTTCATTTTGTTTTTGATTTAGAAAAAGAGATCATGAGAGGACCAATTCACAGGGAAGAAGAGTGATTAAAAAATGCAATCTACTCAGGCTTGCTCTGACAAATGCGATAGATTGTCAAGCTCCTTTGATTGCTTTATTATCTCCTCTACACATTTCTATTTTGCTACTCTATATTATGACAAGATTTGGTGTTTCATTACATTAAAACAGACTAAGGAAGAATGATTATATAAGACAGACTTTTTTTTTTCTTTATGGATTAGAGGCATGAGAAGAAATTTTATGTAGTTCCTAATGAGATTTTTTCTCATCAGCAGCCTGTTGGGGGAAAGAGTGTGTGTTTTCATTATTTTAGTGGTAATTTCTTCCTACAGTACATTTCTTCCCACAGTCCCGTGGTACATTTCAATACAAAAACGTTAATGCTGACAGACAGCTGGACTGCAAGATAAAAGGCGTTCAGAAGAGATC